GCTGGCGCTTCAGAGGGCCCTCGTAAGACTTTCCCAGCATGCAAGAGACCGGCCAAAAGATGGAGCTTCTTCCCAAAGACAAATGACGCCTGCTTGATAGCTGGAGGCCGAGGAACTCTCATCACAGGTCTCGCGTCATCCACTGCACCCTTTCCACACCCCCTGTCCTCCTCATTCAACTCGCAGACCTCGCGGTTCCAACTGCATCAGCAACCATCTCATTTCGCGGGAGCGAGCCGGGCTTCTCGAAGCGCTCATGCGTGCAAGTGGGGTCGGATGAAGGAGTAAAGATTTTTTTTGAGATGAATCCACTTGAAGCCTAAAGCCGTTGGATCCCATCAGGGGTGCTTGTCTTTCGCCTCTCGGGCAAGAGGACTTTCTGTTGGTCTCGGTAGAATTTCTCGAAGGTCCCGACGATGCCTTTGATGGAGCTGGATCCCTGGTCGTATCCAAGGGTGGATACGTCCAACGGTCCAGGTCCTCAAGTTCTATTTGTGAACAGGTATCACCAAACAAGGTGGCGGCAGACGGACGTGGCTTATAGCACCTTATAGCATCAGGGCTTAGTGTCTTACAAGACGTGAGAACGCATTCTAGTATCGAGACTGTCCGTGATGTGGTCGATTGAGTCGCCTTGTCCGGAAGCGTAGGAACGGTACAAAATAGAATTATGCTCGCTGACGGTTGGGCAGGCGTGAGCGTATCCGTACAGGTGAAGTTCACAGACGTGAGTCCCGCAAGGGGTACAAGGTGTTCCATCTCCCCGGCTTTGGGTGGCTACTGGACTTCGGAAGCAGTTGTCCATTACGGGAGTCGCCGTCGTTTACCGTCAGGTTCGCAAGAAAGATGGATCATCTAGGGATTGACCAAAGGGTTCCAAGTGAACGATCGACCTTTCGAGGAAATAGGGGACCCTCTTCATGGAGTTGGGATCATCTTGCTGAACAGTAGGGAAATGATTGGTTTCACGTCGCTTGCAAGCGAAGTACTTCGTATGACTTCGCCGTGAAGAATCCGGCCGACACACGATCGTGGAAGTCGAGTGCTGCGTATGCCGGCGACTGTACCACGCATGGTACAGAGTACATCGAAGGTGATACCTGGTTAACCACAGCCCCTCGAGTGAACCATGGTCGTGGGCCCCGGCTTGGCCCCATTTGTGTGATGTTTGCTTCCCGCCTTGCATAAGCGGAATATGTAGCCTTCTTCCGCGTGTCACGTTGATCACGTGGTATGAGAATGGCTATCGCGAGAAGATCCACGGTCAACGTAGCTGGGATTGTCATCTCTTTCCATGTCTGGACGAGAACCCAAGGGGTTTTCTGCAACTAACATTAAGAGATTTCCGGGCTCGCGACATCAAGAACAGACATTGATGGGAGGCTGCTCCGTCTGGTGGCTCAACTGAAGCATAATCGTTGGTGCACGTTATGCTGTAGACAATATATCCTGTAGTGTCGCCTTCAGTCTTGATTTCGGGGCGATATTTCCAATATCTTCCACATGCGCAGAGACTGCAGCACACGGTCTAGGCCGCATCTGGTGTGACTTGTGGTACAGTGACGGTTGACTGTGTTTGGTTAAATGAGAGATGGCACTGCCACCTTATTATTAGGAACCCTGTTCGGAGAGATGATAGCAGAGAGCTGGGGAACCTCGTAGATGGGGGACACCACTGAATGGTAAATTATTATCTGATTCAAAGACCAGATGCGCTGGGCCGCTGGCGGCAATGGCTGGGCTTGAACGACAATTGTGAACCTTGACCGAGACATTGAACAGGCACTTGCCCGAGAGCCTACAACGATGAGACGCCTTCTCCGGTGAGCTGCGCAATGTAACTTCGATATGCCGGAGCAGCCAAGCTTGTTATTGGTGTTTAGGAACCAGGCGCCCCTTGTGGAATGTCTTACAAGCCGGGCTTTTCACGTACTGGTTGACGGATATTGACTGACCGGTAGGAAGGCTTTTGCTTCGACAAGAAAATTGGGAGGGATGTCAGCGCCCATGCAACGCGCCCTGCATGCCTTAGCCGAATGAAGTCGTGATGCATGCCTCGAAACGCGACGCAGCCTCGGTCTCTAGCCATCCTAGAAGCTGGTTGACACAAGGCGAATGCCATCCATGGGACATTTACTAATGTCGTGAGTTGGCTCATGGCTGTAACGGCGCAAACGGAGTGATTCTGAGATCATCGCGTTGAGCGTCGAGCGTGATAATGTGACCACTCTACTACAAGCTGGTAGTCTCGCAGTTCTTCATCCATCATACATTGTATCCGTACAGGGCTTGGTTAGTTTGCGCAGCCTTCGGGGAGCGACTTCGAAGAATCCGGTCTTGTGCAAGCCACCATCGCCTTGCTCGTACCCACCATTGGACAGGCTCAAGGGAGCTATTGTGGTAGGATCGTGTTCCGGATCGGCCAATCGATAGCGCTGACTGGGCATGATTGACGCATTTGGACGAACTGGTGACCTGCAATATTCTTGGGTTGTTGACTTGATGCAACGTCTTTAAAAGCCAATGTTGTATCTCCGTATTCCCGGAGAAAGCTCTCGGCAAGGTCGGAATGACCTAATTGGTATTTGTACCGCCATCAGGAGTATGACATCTGGCCTCGACCGTTTACTATGTGCGCATGTGGTTGTTTCCGAGAGTAGAAGCAAGGCAGACTGAGCCCATCATCATCATTCATGTATCCGACCCGTAGGATCTTGTAAGGCCAACTGGCGAGTCGGGGCCGCTCCGGGGACATTCGCTGTGGCGGCGCAGCGCACCGGTCGGTGGGTAAGATTAAGCTCCATCCCCCATCTCGCATCTCGTGAACGGCAGGGATGTTGAACGGGGATGCGGAGCGTGGAACGCCAGGGTCCGGCACATTTTATGCAAGGCGAGTGCCGTGTGACAGCGCGTGAGAGCGCGTGGGCGATTTTGTGCGACGATGCATCCTAGTGTCTAATGCTACCATCTCCTTCATAGTCCGAAGCTCAGGCCCGACTTAATCGTGAGATCGTGATTCTCCCCAGGATGAATATCTTGCAACCTCTAGTCGTTGTATAAATGCTTGCTATCATAGGAACTGCTGCCGACCCTAAGAAGGTTGCAGAGAATCCGGAGCTATTGGATTCAAGCGGGGAGATGGAAATTAGGCCGCTAGACTTTGCCCGCCCCATTTGCCAATTCGAAATAGGGGATAGAGTATCCGCCTCCCGTGTGTGGCTGCAAGTGGCCGATGTTGACCGGTTTGTGTGTTGCAAGCATCGTGACGACAGCCAGGGGCTGAAATAGGGGTTCACGAACCCTAGGTTATTACCAAGGAATTGGCGGCCGTCATCCTTGGTACGGAACTTTGGAAGCAGTGGAGCAGAAGAAGCGTCTTCCGGGCCTGAGTCCTTTTGTCGATCTCGCTCCGTCTCGAATTGATCCTCACCGATTTGCAGAGGTGCGACGTCAGGCGGCTCTCTGTGCCTTGGAGTCGACCATCACTAGGGGCATCTTGAAGAAGGGTGCGAGGACTAGGCGTGTAGATCTGGGCCCAGCGTGACGGCCCGAAGACGTCAGGGCAGTTGAGCCAGGTTCGCGTGCGAGGAGAGCCGAGGCGTGTTGGGCTAAGGTATTGTCGATGAGGATTCGAGTGGCACGGGCAGGAGCGCGGACGAACAATTCGTATCGTCGTTTCCTTTGCCTGTTCAGCTTTGCTTTTCGAGGTGGCATTGCAGCAGCCAGCCTCTCAGCGCATTGAATGCCAAAGTGATGGATTCGTCCTAGGTAGCTGGCGAGGCAACTGCATGTAGCTAACGTATAACGCATGTCCTGGTGTCGCAAAACGCTCCCGGATCTTGCGTTACCTTGGATTCTTTTTGAGAATCTTGGGTGTCGGGATATGCAATGATACACGTAGAAACCAAACGGGGAGAGACATGGTCTGCGGGGGATGTTTTAGGGACCACTCGGCCTCGTCCGCTGCAAATTGCCAAGGTAGCGTTCCTGTATTCGTTCTCCGTACTCCGTAGTCTGTACAAACGGATACCTCTTTGGTGGACGGGAAATCATGGGAGCGAGGCGGCCGTGGATGGCGATGGAGGACAAAGACCCTGGACAATGTGCCACGCGAATTGGGTCCCATGTCCGAGGTGCTGGATCGTCAATGGATGGATGCGACAGGCACAGAATCGACCCGTCATGGCGGGTGTGCCGAAGGGCCTTTACTTTTGGTGAAACGGAACGGCGCGAGAGATGCGGAGTCTTTGTGCTGTCGGTGTCCTTGTATTTAGGAAGTCTTTATAATAACTTCATCAGGAATGCGAGACGATGCAAGATTCCTTCACAAGGGGCGACAAAGGAGGAGGGTCGAGGTCGACAATTGGAGCTTCTGGGACAGTGGTACCAATGCCTTTGAGGGAAAACGTCGCGCAGTGTCTGACGCTGCAGACGCGGTGTCGTAGAGCTGAAAGAAACGGAGGAGACTCGAGGAGAAGGTGTTGATTGAGTGAGAGTGAGTGCGACTGCCCCAGGTTTGCGAGGATTGAAATGCTTCCCGGGGAGGCCTGGGGCTGCGAATTGCCCATGTCGGTGCTGTCTCAGCGGTAGGTTCCTATGCTTGTATTCCTTGTCGCGCTTGTTGTGCAGTGATTTCGTATCTCGATATGATGCGGAGGAATGGGGGCGGCACGCATGTTGTGCTGCAAGTGCCTTGTCCACGACTCAGGAGGCACTCTCTCATAGGTTGATGCTATTGCGAATACACACCGTGGCTGGCTGGAAGTCTCGGGAGGTCGATAGAGCCCAAGTCGTTGTACACTGCCAACGTAGGCAGATAGGCAAGAAAGTGGCGGTCTAAGGTATTGGGTCGGGTCGTAGTTGGCTGATTTCGCAGGGACGCGTGCCCAAAGTTTGGGTACTGGAAGAGATATCTCGACGTTGGTCTTGGAACTCGAAACTTACCTTGGTACGGACGGACACCTTAGGTAGGCACTGTGGTATGCATTCCTTTGAGGTTCTCAAGTCTTGCCAAGGTAGGTGCTTCTTAGTCCTTCCGCAGCAAGTGCGTGCCAGGGAAGGTGAGGTGGGAAGGTCCAAGTGCACAGTCTCCCTGGAGTACGTGCACAGTACTTTGTACTCTGTATGGATCTGCATGTCTCGTTCGCTGCTGGTGGAAATGGATTGGAATACTTTGATGAAAGATGCGGGCGTGGACTCGGGACTGTGGAGACACGGGACTGAGTGCCATCGGCATTTCCTCGGTTGTCATTGGCTGCCATTGGCTACAATTGCTGTGTATGGCAAGTGTCGTGCGGCGTGCGGCGTGTCTCCTCCATTCCTGCACAACACAACTCTGGTGCTGCAGGCACAGACAATCATGACTTTCCACTCTGGCAGATGAAAATCTTGTGATTGGTCAGCTGTACAGTGCGGGTAAGCCGAAGACAAGGCATCTATCCGCACGGCGTTCGATATTCACTGAGTTGGTGTATCAGTCAAGGTCCAAAACCTCCCTCCAGTCGAAACCCACCTCAGTGCCGACACTCACCACAGTTTATCGCATCTTCCTGACCCTGCTAGGTGGTGGCAACAGGAAACTCTGCCTACATCCGGGATGCACCAGAGTCGGGCACTGAAAGCCCGTCGGGAACAAGATAACAAAAGCTTTCAAGTTGATACGGTACCTTATGTTCGAGGCAAAAGCAGATCAACCTTTGTGTTGAAACCTACTCGATGACACGTCAAGGGAATACCCTAAGGTAGGTAAGGTAGGTAAGGTAGGTACTCCGTACCTTGGACGCGAACTACGCCGCTGTGGGTTCGTCTGATGCTCACAATGACACGACAGCATCGCGTTCTGGAAGAGAAACCATCGTTTTGTGTTTGAATGTGTGGTCAACGGCGTTCCTTGGAGAACCCTTCCCGCCCGTTCTACATACCGTTGGAGATGATTATGCAGAAACACACTACTTGGGTGTGCACTGCACCTTACTATTTGACACGTTCGGTTTGTAGTATCGCACTGTGTACTTGTCATGGATGCACAACGTGGATGCAGATGTCGAGGGATAATTTGTGGATTTTGTGCGTGTTTCCCAGCAACGCACGGGACGGTGACGGAAAGACCACTCAATATATATTGGACCGGTGTGAGGCAACGGCAGGTCAGGAACGACGGGGCGGGCTTCCTTCCTTTTGGCATCGCAGCCAGTGATAGACGCCGCCATTACAGCTGACACTGTGCTAGCGCCTTCCTACACAACCTAAGGTAAGCGTGACAAGTTCCTGCCCATCTGGCTTATCCCACAGGCCGGGCCCCTTCCTTCCCTCCACCGCTCTGGCAGTAGCCGTAGTCCCCGTGCCACCTTCCCGCCCCTCCCTCCCAAACGCGTCCGACCACAGACCACAGACCACGGACCACGGGCAGGCCGCAGCCCTCACCTCACTCACCACAGACCGCAAACCGTCTGTGGCCCAACAGCGCGACGAGATGCAACGTGCAACGTGCCTGCGAGTCAAAAGGCAAGTGCTCCTCGAGTGCAAACCTCCCAGTTGCTCCCTGCCCCGTCTCCGAAAAGGAAACATACCTTGAACCAGACGCAATAAGGCATCTTGGGCATTTGGGTGTACCTTCCAGGTTGAGGCATAGACACTGAAAGCAGGGGAAAGAATACGAGGCATCGTCCATTTCTCTCCTGCCGTAGGTAAGGTACCTTACGGAGTACTCTCTACTACGTACCTATGCCATGGCGCAATCGTGACCTCCCATTCTCGAGTTCATGATACTAAGGTAATAGGGAAGTTATGCGGCAATGCCAAACTTGACACTACCTTCCCTTTTTCTGGTATTCTTTCCCAGGCAGAATACACCTTAGCAAGGCATTCGGCCTTCAACCTTCTGACACCATTTCCCTTACCTTTCACATTTCTGCAGAGGAAACGTCGCTTCATAGACTATTCAATTCATTATCCACCACCACCGCGCAATACACACAAAGCATAAAAACCACGGGCCATGGGCCACTCACCGCAGGCTGATTGCATTTTCTGAAGCGACACCGGCGACAACGGCGGTCGCGCCGCTTTTCTCCCTCTTGCCCCTTTTCTCATCCATATCTTACATCGAGGCCCAGTTCATCGCTATTCGGTATCTACTATACGTACGCAGTAGTAAGGTATCCGTACGAATAGGAAATAGTCTACAAAGACACCGCCCCTGCGAAACGTGAAGCTTCAATGTCCGTCGAGGATCCTCAGTCCCGCTGTGGACTTGTCCAGCTGCCACAATCCATCGCGGCAGACACTGTCGGCGCCGACTGCTTTCCAGAGATGACGACCTGTCCGTCCAGCTCGTGATCGCGAGGACGACGGAAGAAAAAGGAAGGAGGAAAGTCTGGAGAGCTGGACCCAGCCTTTGTCGAATACGGATAATTGGCTGTACATCTATCGAGGTGAGGTGCCTGGATCCTTGGCCTAGGTACTCGTACAGTTACGGTTCCTTGCCTCATCGATCAGGGTACTTTTACCCCTACCGAGCCTGGAGTCATACCTTGCCTTACAGTTCTGACTGTTCTGGAGACAGGTCCTTGCTCATTGGCAACCCAGGACCCAGGGTTATGGGCACGAGTACTCCGTACAAGCATGGGTCTGACATGGCACTTTAGCGTACAGGTACGGAGTACTGCGTGTACCTTTTGCTCCAATTGACGACTTCCTTTTAGCAGAGAGTACGTAGGCTCGGCCATGCCATATGAAGACACATTTCCATGTACTGCGTTTTGCGGCCATCTGAGAAGCACTCCTCTGGTCAACGTACGCGAGAAGTCGGAGACTCGGAGCAAGACGAGACGAGCCGTCCTTTCTCTCCTCTCCCCATGGCACGCCGCATACTACGTATGCCCACCACAACAATTACCATGGAATACCCACCTCACCACGCACACCACACCGCATCGCGCCGCGCTCAGTTTGTCAGGGGTACCTAGCTCCGCGGTAATGCCTGGGCCCTCCGTCTCCTTCCCGTCTGCCGCCTGCGCCTGTGACTTGCACAGGGCAACAACGGGTAGTTACAACGGCACAAGCCATGTGCGCATCGGGCCCTGAGGCTGGGGGGTCAAAGGGTCAGACATTGTCATAGCCGTGGGTACCAGAGTCAGTGCCAGTGTCAACACGCAGCTCCTTCTCGCATCAACAACACTCTCTCGACACAAGGCCGAGAGGTACATCAGCAGAATCAAAGGGAAGAAAGGCTCTTGAGCCTCGGACGTTGCGAGATGACCAAACCTTGCCGAGCTTGGGACCAATTTTCAACGTACTCTGGACTACTGTGTATCCGTATGCCCCGTCAACAAGAAGCAAATGCTGGGTCGGTCGACGGTCTCCCCGCCAGACACGATGGACACGGAGAGAATAGGACAGGATAGATTGAGACGGAACACCGCCAACACCATTGCACCAAAGCTAACCAAGCCTACAGTGTGAGCCGGCCATGAAAACATCATCAACAACAGACCCTGACGAGCGGGACACTAGTATTTTCCTACATGAGTAGTACGGACAGTAAGTCAGTTGGTGAGTTACGGAGACTTCTGGCTGACTGATTGACTAGTTAGAAGGGCGATAGCGGGTTTGTTCCCGCACGTTGCTCTGAGCGAGCCGACTGGACCCCAGAGGTCATGGACCCCCAATTCCTCATACAGCGGGCCCAGGTGAGGGCGAAGAGGTTTGGAGGTTCCGAGATTCGCCATATCGTACAGCGTACGGATACAGAGAAAAACCTTGGGCACAGGAACCTTGCCGAACCAAAGGGGGACCGGGGCATCCAGTCCAGCGAAACGGTGAAGGCTTTCGTCCGCCCTCTCTCTCTCTCTCTCTCTCTCAGTCTGTCTATCTATCCGTAGGTACCTTGTTCACGTACCACGCGATACTTTACAGCGACAGGTTCTAGTGGCTGGCACTAAGGCGAAGAAGAAAAGACTGACCTCGGGAATGTCAGTCCCTGCTGCCAGATGGACGGGCTTTTAGCGGCGCTGTCAGTGTCAGATCTGAGGTCTGTTCATGTTCAGCAACGCCAGGTACCTCGAGCAAACTTGCCTGTCCTAGAGAGAAGTTATGTTGCCCCGAAGTTATTGATGCAGCTTCGCAACGAGTGCATATTCTTTGTTGACATGGCTTTCTCTATCTCTACCTTGGAGAGAGGAAGGCTTAAGGCTCAAGCACAAACACAATCACAAACACAAGCAATACTTGTAGAATAGACACGACTCTCCTCATCATCGTCGGTCGCCCTGGGTCGTCGCCCCGATCCTTGTCTTGAGCCTACTGTGTACTGCGTAGGCCTGCCCTGTCGGTCTTGGGTGCTGGGTCCCTGACTCCTGGTCCTGGAAACCTAGACTCTTCCACTGGTAAAGAAAGGTATCCGTAAAGTACGGGATAGTGTGGTACAGACCGCAGAATGGGTTCCTCTTATTTTCCAATTGTTCCCTCCACCGTCTGTCTCTTTCTGCCCTGTCAGTCATTCTCCTTGCCGTTGTGGTCCACTGGTCCCTCCCCGACCCCTTGTCAAGGGCTGAAGCCTGTCTTCCTTTTGCCTTCTGCCGTTCGGGTCGTTGCCACACCCCTTCTTCTTTTCCCACAGCGCTGGGGTCTGAGTCCTGAGCTCAACTTTCATCAAGTCTTCTCTGGATCCCCGCTGGCTAGTCCCCGTCCGTTCGGTGGGGGCCCATTTCATCAGCTGCGGTCACTGGGGGCCCATCGTCGACAATAACGGGGGTTGAAAGTGAACTGTGACGGGAGAGAGAGAGAGAAACTGCAAATCCAAAGGAAGGGGAGAGGGGACCAGAAAAAAAAAAGAGAGAAGCTCCCCTTTTTAGCCTCCTCACTTCAGCTTCTTCTTCTTTTTTTCCTTTCATGCTGCAGCAGCATCAAATTTTCCCTCGTCGCTCGAATCTCCTCGCAACCTCTTAACCTCCCCTTCACCCACTCCCTCACATTTCATCGTCGTCCTCCTCTTTCGACCTTTGACCTTATTTTGAGCCTCAACACCAGGCGAAAAAAGTAGTACCTAGCGTCGGTCGCCTCATCGTCCGCTATCCCTCCTCTTTATCTTATCCTCTCCTATCCGTCCCTAATTTATTACTTGGGCTTGTTTACCTCCCTTCTCCCGCATACCTTAGCACTTAATCGAGGTACGCGCACCATCAAGCAAGGAATACAAACACACCCACCACCCCCTTTGCGCCTTGCCCTACCTTGGGCAAAAGTACTTCACCTTGAATCAAGGCGCAACACACACACACACACATACACCAATCCCCAAGCGATCGCGTGTCAAGCGTCTGCAACCCGCGTCTGCGTCTGCGACTGCGACTGCAACTGGAACTGTGTGTGTATCCGGTACCTAACTGGGTGACCTTGGCGTCTTCGGCGGAGAAACGAGCGAACGAGCCCCAAGGGCCGAACCAAGCAAAACAATAGAGAAGTTGAGAGGCAGAAGACGAAGACGAAGAAGAAGAAGAAGAAGATCCCGGCCAAAGAAAAGCCAAAAAAGCAAAAGCACCAGCCCGCTTGCGCCCATCCCGCAAGGAGCCCGCCACATACCTTTGCCATACCTTCCATTAGGTACTTCGAACGGAGAGAGGTACTTTACCAAGTTACCATTGACTGGGACCACTCGCCCTCCTCCCCCACGCCCACGCCCCTACATAACATCCGCCACGGCATTTTTTCTGTACTGGTCACAGCGTGCGACTTTTTTTTTTCTTCCTCTTCTCTCTCTCTCGGCTGCTCGCATTTCCCTCCTCCCAACCTGTTTTTTTCAAAGACCCATTTTCGGAGGGGGTCTCTGCACGACTATTAACGACGACCGATCCGAACGAGCGAACGGCCGTCACATCCACACACGAGAGAAATTCCTTGCGACTTTTCTGTTGCATGCTGCGTGTTTGGTGAACTGCAACCTTGCACACACACACACTGACTGCATCGCTTCGTACGCTACATCGCAATCAAGGTTGCTGCCGTCGCCTCCGTCCCCGACGCCGCTTTTGCGTCTTAGGTTGCTGTCACTTTGGCTTTGGCGAAAGGCACACTGACGGTTTGCTTGCTCCGCATCGCCCGCCATTTCCTGAGGTCGCCAGGTCCCTGTCCTCGCTCGCGTTGTCCACACACGTCAGTCGGTCGGTTTTGTCGAGGGCTTTTTTTGCTGCATCTACCAACTGCCCCCCTTGCCAACCCAACCTGCATCTCCCTCACACATCCGCATTACCGCCTCCCGCCTTTTCCTCCTCCTCCTCCTCCTCCCTCCCGCTCCCCGTCGGCACATCACACGGGTTACTGGTCATCAAATCCAGTACCTGCCGTCAACGGGTCTACACCTCGAAAAAGATATCACGAAAAAAAGACAATGAGCCAGCAACAACACGACATGTATCTCGACTACTCAGCCCCCCCGAATCGCTCCCCGAGCTCCTCGAGGCAGTATGCGGGCGGCTTCCAATCTGGTCTGTCCCTCCCTCGTCAGGCCCAGCGACCTTTCGATAACGGCTTGGGCTCCTCTGCCCTATTTCCTTCCGACCGTCTTGGCTACAATCCTAGAGCCATGGATCAAATGTCTGCGAATGGAATGCCCGGTGGATATATGCTGGACAACAGCCAGGCCTGGAACTACAATGCTGGTGGTGTCGCGACCGTCAACGGTGCCATGAACGGCGCCAATAGACAGAGGAGCGTCAATCGCCGAGCCGCTCTCCCCACTGTGAGTTTTTTCTTCCCCCTTTCCCTCATCCTTTCGCTCTCTATAACGTAGGCGTGATCTGACCGCCCCTTAGAACTGGACCGATCAAGGACTCGGCATGCACGGCTCATATGGCTCCGGCCTCAACGGTGGAATGTCCAACGGCCTCCGCTATGACGGACAGGGTGATATGCGTCCCAGCTCGCAGACGGAAGAGCAGCTGATCCCTACCGCCATTGTCATCAAGAACATTCCCTTTGCCGTGCGAAAGGAGACGCTTGCCGCCGTCATGTTGGAAATGCACCTCCCCCAACCATACGCCTTCAACTACCACTTCGACAATGGCGTTTTCCGTGGCTTGGCTTTTGCCAACTTCCAGTCCCCCGAAGACACCAAGATTGTAATTGATGCCATGAACGGAATGGAGGTCCACGGCCGAAAGTTGAGGGTCGAGTACAAGAAGATGCTGCCAGAGGCCGAGAGAGAGCGTATCGAGCGCGAGAAGAGGGAACGACGTGGTCAACTCGAAGAACAGCACCGCGCCCCGATGCTACACCAACAGCCATCCCTCCAGACCCTGAACAGCGTCTCCAGCAACCCTCCCCGCGCTCCCCTCGGTACGTTGCGACGAAGCCACGAGATGGACTTGAACACCTGCTGACTGACCGTGTGTAGATGGAGATATTGATCTCAACGATCCCGAGACTCTGGAGTTCTACACCGAGCTTACTCTTTTCAAGCGTGATACCAACCGTGAAATCCTCATCTTCCCCAACTCCGTCGCCCCCGAGCAGCGCCGTCGCATCCACATCCTCGCCCATCACATGGGCCTCGAGCATAACTCTGTGGGAGAGGCCGAGTCGCGCCAGATTCACGTTGTCAAGCGCCAGCTTCCTTCACCCACAGCCCAGATCCACTCTCCCGCTGTCGGCTTGGACTACCACAAGAAGGGCCTCAGCAGGGCAGCCACCTTCGACTTCGCCGCCGATAGAGAGGCCCGGAGCGCTAGCACCAACTACTCCCATGCCATGGGCCGCCAAGGTCCGACTCTTGAGCTTCCTGGAAGCCCTGATGGAAATGGCCTTGCCAACCTCCGCGCCGCCAAGAGCTTCGCCGATCTGCGATCCTTCAGCCCTAGCCCGTCTGCGTCCTCTTCGAGCTACTTGACGGCCATGAACGGCATCGGGAACATTCCCCAGTCTGGCAACTCGGGGGCCCGCTTCGGCGATTACAATGGAGGTGTCAACCAGTCCGCCGCGCTTGCCACTCCCAACCTGACACCTACTTCCGGGACGGTCGGCACTCCTGGTACCGACAGCAGCCTTCTCAGCTCGCTTGGTGGACTCAACCTTGGTTCCTACGAGTCAGCCGCCCATTCGCAGGCCCGAAGCACCCCTGGCGCCATTGGAAGCCAGCGCCCTGGTGCCAACAGCGGCAACCGCAACGCACCCGAGAGGCAGCCCAGAGGCCCCGAGTGGGAGACTTCTGCCGGCTTCAGCGGTCGCAACCGCTCCAACGGCCACATGCAACGTGGAAGCGGTAAGTTTTCTCTTTCGTCTGCTCAGACTGGGATAGTGAGTCCAATAAACTAACCCCATGGCAGACTCTTCCGACAACGCACCCCGTGCTGGAAGCGCCGGCGCATCTCGATTCCACTAGACAAGAACCATAATTTACCTCGCCGAGACTGCCACGACAACCATTACAATGAGGAAACGATTCATGACTCGCGACGCATAGAGACTACAAACGACATTCGACGAGTTCACCGCAGCTCACCGCAGCTCGGTAATCGACAAACCCCCCTGTGTTATACCTACCATTGCTTTTCATGATGGACACTCTCCCCCACAACCACACCCATATTGCTTATAATGATGATTTGTTGGACACGAGCCTTTGGCAGCGTCATGATCTTTCGCTCGGCCGTCTCGGAATTGGTGGATAGAAGATTTCCCAGCGTCGCGGCGGCATCCCATTTTGGATTCACGGCACCCGCCCGGCAAGGAAACCTTGGCTCATGGCTGTTTCAACGACCAGAGAAGGATGAACGGAAAAGAAACTTGGATACAAGAAAATACCTGATATGGGCAACCATTTCGACATGGCAAAAAAAGGCCCATGGGCGGTCCCCTATACCCTCCTGTTTCCCCGCCATACCTCCTTTCATGGCGCGCGGGAGCATATGAACCACCCTTGACGATGAATACGCTGTTACGACCTTTTTATGTCTAGATAGCTGTACCAGCATGCTCGACAAAAGCCGCTTCTTTTTGGATGACGAGACCATGCCCTTCGGCGACCATGACTATACCCACCTAATTACCACGGTTCGGCAAGTTTTGATCAAGACACGACCCAAGACTGATGTTGCCCTCGGACTCTCTTTTGACGGCCAAGATTGGTAGTTTGTCGGCTTCAGAAAACAATGCCAGCTCTTTATTGGGCTCACCGACGAAAAAAAAAAAGTTTGATTTGATTCTGGGCGTCTTTATGCGCCTGCATTTCCTGATGGTTTTTTTTTCGTGTTGTTTAGTATTCATGTCCCCCCGGCCCTCAATCCCGCAAAGTGCTCTCTGTGTCAACTTGCAGAGAGTCGCCCATAGAATGAACACTCCTGTTCCATCATGGGTGATCTTTCGGGACGACTTTGACGGGGACATTGGCGTTGAGGCTGCATTGGGGGCCAATTGGTCGTATTTCCTGGTCTTGGACCTGCTAGAGTTTTCCGTGTTTTTTTTATTCGTCTTATTTTTGTTGGATTTACATGCATTTGCGAGCATCTGAGGCAGGATGACAGGACGAGAGATCAGTGAACGATCTAATGTCGATATTTTTTTTCCAGCAGAGAACAACACACGAGAGAGAGATGAGATGGCAGATGCAAGGACTGGCCAAACTATTTGCGTGTAATGTGTCATGGGGCACAAAGATAATTTCGATGAAGAGAGGATGATGATGTACCGAGAGAGAGCCGCACACACTAGGCAGCTATGCTATTTTGCGCCTTGTCAAATATACTGCGTTTGATTTGATACCGAGTCTCATGTGATGGCGCTTACTGTGAGGACGACACAAGACGCGTTGCTACCTGACTACTGGCGTTCAACGTTACGAACAGGACTCGAACGCTTTTTGTGGTCTGGTTGTTCAGTTCTACCGCTCGTTCCTGAGGGAGGGTAGAATTCGTTACAAACCGTATGAGTTGGGGGAGTTCTAGGTCAAAGTCCTCTTCTTACAAAGCAAGCTACAGTTCATGTTCTGTTTCACGACATCTCATGACACCTCGGGAGGTGGGTGAGCGGGCGGTAAACATGATTCTTTGTCTTGTGAAACGGGGGTTATGATGTGCCTGACCAAATGGTGGGTAAATGATACGGGCAGGAAGGACCAGCCGGATTCTGAAGACTCGTTCTTAAAAAGGGTCAAAATGATTATGAAAACGGGGAACGGTTAGCTGTTTAGATCCGTTGTGTTCCTACCATACGAACGAGATATCGTTCACGATGTGGCTCATTCCCCCGCTCGTACTCGTAAGAGCCCCAGATACCACCTACCGAGCTACACATACACTCACTCACATTCTACCAAATCTAGATCAATTTTGCTATACGGTTTGCACATAGCCGAATTTGAACAAGCAACGAGGTCGGACCATCGCCAGACATTCCCGAGGAGAAGGGGCAAGGGCCGTAGAATGGCCGACCATCTCCAAGTGAACGAATCCAGCCATCGTGGACCATCATTGATAACTCCCCCGGATTCACCCCTACCACCACCGCCAGCCGAGCCAGACGAGATCGCTGTGCAAATCGCCACAACGTCTCCATCTCCATCATCGTCATCCACGTTGTCCGGGCCCTCGTCAACCTCGTCACCCTCATCACCCTCGTCCCCACCGGAACCATCAACGCCAACGCCAACGCCAACACCACCAACAACAACAACACCACCAACAACAACAACACCACCAACATCAACACCACCGGTCCCCTTCCGCCCCAACCCCCTCCCAAGATGGCGCTGGCGCACCCACTGCGGCCTACGACATCTCATCTCCTGCACAAACCGCTGCATCCACTGCGGCCGCTTCTTCTCCAACAAACCCGCCCCCAAAACCGGCCCGCTCTTCATCTCGCGCCTATACATGAGAGGTAAAGCCTTACTCAGCCTGCGTCCCGAAGACGCGGAGTATGGGTACCTCGTGGCGCAGCAACTGAAGCGGAGGAATCGCGGTGAGCTCAGGGCGGCGAGGGCGGTAACCAGGGCGAGGGCGGAGCGTTCGGCGACGATGATGGCGAGGGCCGTGTTGGAGGATTCGGTGATGGCTTCGCCGCCTTGGCTCATGCTGTGGCCTTCTAAGTGGGAGTACGTCGAGCAGTGGCAGGTGGGAACGTGCCCAGCACGAGGGACACGAATCAAGCCGGCATCTGCACGACGTGTTCGCTTCAGCATCCCATTAACCAAGTAATCAGGCCGCATCATAGATACCCCGATTCATGAACACCATAGAGATGGATTTCCTGCATTAATCCGTGATCACTTAGGACAAGGGCACGGCATCAGTATACGGAAATCAAATGTGTACCCCCATTACAGTCTTATTCATCTACCTAAGCCCATCAGCTAGTGCCTTATCCGCGCGTGCCTTCTTGGGAACCGAAACAGGAACCTCGAAATGTTGTACATTGTGAGTGAGTGCCAGACTCGAGGCGAATCTGCGTGGGTTTCTGAGTGCAGGCACCCAGAGTGAGTACCCTGCAATCATAAAGATCAAGGCGCTTATGGCTCATGCGCCATATTTTTTTCAGCACCGTACCCATGAACGTCGAGGACAGAATCGCGTGCAACTCTGAACCGTTGCATGCCTCTTCCTTTCTTTGTTTCCAGATGTTGTGAAAAGATTATTCAACCTCTGGCACACCTGCATCATCGTCGTTTCTGACCAGTATTGTAAGGAAAGCAGAAAAAAGCATCCCTTGAGACCGAACCACTCCCAAATAACCGTCCTGAGAAAAAAGCCAACCGGGAATATCAACGTTATTATCGTTGTTGTGCAAGACGCGGGATTTATGCCTCGAGCGCCTTGGCCTTCTTCTTCTGCTCGACCTTGAGGAGGAGCGCGCGGTTGATGTGTGGCAGAACACCACCAAAGGCGATGGTGGCACGAATCAGGGTGTCAAGTTCCTCGTCACCACGAATGGCAAGCTGGAGATGGCGGGGAGTGATACGCTTGACCTTGAGGTCCTTGGCAGCGTTCTTCAAGGTGCGCGTCAGTAAATGATTTAGGCAGAGACCCCGATGAGTCAACGGAGTGCGCTGGGAGGGATGGGAACTTACGCCTGCAAGCTCGAGTACTTCAGCAGTAAGGTACTCGAGAACGGCGGTGACATAGACGGCAGCCTTGGCACCGACGCGCATCTTGTTCTGGGTGTTGGCCTTGAGGAAACGCTTGACACGACCGCAGGGGAACTGGAAAGTCCGTGTTAGCAAGATGCTACCGCTAGCTTGAGAAATTTTCATTGCTGCGAGCGTTCCGGGAGTTGCGCCATCGTTTTCAAGCCCAACGAGGTCGTGCACGCGACCGCATCCCGTCCATCATCCAGTGCAGCCTCAACGGCGGAAAAGTGATCGCGCAGATTCACCGTTGCAGGTGGAAGATGCTGCGCGACACGAGATGATGGTTGGAGGGCGTTTCTACTTGTGTTGCGGTCGAACGCGTCGGAATCGGGTGGTCGTCGGTCGATGCTCGATATCGGGGCCCAAAAATCGACGTGCAAAACCGGCGCATCATCAGGATAGCGCAACTTACCTGGAGACCAGCGCGAGCGGAGTGGCTCTGCTGCTTCTTGGGGACTTCGGCCGTAGCCTTGCCTCCGGACGTCTTTCCGCCAGACTTTCCCTTGCCGCCGGCCATTGTTGATGTTGATGCGAGGGCGCGAAAAAAAGGTTTGATAAATTCGAAAGTCGAGTTTGGGATCCGATGATTCGATCAAAGTGGGGATGCGCGTGTCGAGTACAAGGTTTGGAAAAAAGGACTGTTATCGAACAAGACTGTTTCGGTGTTGGGTTGAAGTTGGAGGGGTTGTCGAGGGAAGCTTTGGTGGAGGTGGATGGAGATGGCAGAAATTTAGTTTGAAGGCTGACAGTGATTGTTGTTGTTCGTCGGTGACGGCAGGAGAAGAGGACAGGGGGGCGAATGGGAGCGAGGGAGCTTCGGTGCGAGCAAGAAAATCGCGGTCGGTGTGGTGTGGGAGGTGCGAGGAGGGGGGGGGGACCGTCGATGGGTGTGCCGGGTGCTGCTGCGTGCTGGTGCTGGTGCTGCTTGTCTTTGCGGTGCTTTTCGTTTCTGAGCAAGTCCACGGCGCGGCCTGTGTTTGCGTGTCTGCTTCTGCTGCTTCCAATGGAAAGGTATGACCACCTGCGCACCTCTGCTGCTCTGCTCTGCTCTGCTCGGCGCTGCACCTCTGTGCTGCCACGGCCCACGCTGCCTCCTTGCTCAGAGTTTTGCTGGTGAGCTATGGTCCGTTCCTATTCGTCGGTTGGAGCTCTGTTGTGGATGGCTGTGTTATGGCGCTAGCGTCGAGTGCCCAGAAATTGTTGACAAAATGTTATTGCCGGAATGTTGCGCGACTGGAGAGCTTACATACGGCTGCCGAAGATTACCCGAGCCGCATCGAAGGAGCCAGGAACCTTGAGGTGCTTGCTTGGCCCGGGCGGGCTGTGAGTCTGATGAGCGAGGCAAGAGAGCCTGCCGCCCAAGACGTAAGTACATGGCACTCGCCATGGTAGAACCGTCAGAAAGCCAGAAATGAGACAAGAGTAAGGAGAAGGACCTGCTCAGCTCGAGCAAATCACCTGGGATCCAGGACACGCCGTGGCGGCAAAGAAGCACATACCTTGAGCTTACCTCCAAGTGAGGCTCTGCGACGGATGCCAGCAGCAGGCTTTGGCCAAGCTCGCTGCACTGCAGCAGGATGGTTAAGCAAAGCTCAGAGAAGAAGGATGAGTGGCCTTCAGATCAGCCTGAGCCCAAATGCAGCCTGTCTCGAGCCGTGGAGGTGAGTGTTGTCATCTTGATATGATCGTTGCTGATGTTGGCCTTTGATGTCGACGCAAAACGCAGACCGAGAAAGCGTCCCGCACGAGGCTAGTGACAGCCTGTGGCGCTTTACCCACGTGATGTGGCTGGTGCTTCATCCGGCCTGGAGTCTCACGTGCAACGTTTGACCTCATGAGCTCAGTGCTCCCTTCAAGGCTCAAGCTCAGACCCCGCCTGGACTCGATCGGATGACCGGCCCCATAAAACACCGGGAAGATCTGACACTGGAGCTCGGGTCTCATCCGGTATCCACACCACCATGTTCTCGTCTCTCGGCTCTGGGGAGTGAGTCCTCATCCTGCAGCCGGTACCAGCTGTTCATGTAAGTCTACAATAAGGCACTGTCTCAAGAGAGTATAACTTCTTTCATCTTATCATACTTTCTACTCAAATCGTCAATACATCCATGATGGAGAGCGTGGTCCTACTCACTGACGACCGCACTATCAAAGAAACTTCTTGTTTGCTATCTCGTGCCCTACCTCTTCGTACTCGGCCCTCACAACACACATCCTTTCAAACGTCGAAAGTTCGCTCATCATGGATCCCCCAACCCAAGCGGAATACGCCCTATTCCGAGGAGAGATGACATTGATAGTAGTACCCTCTGCGAATAAACGCTCCAGTTCGCACTTCAACCTGGCCCCGAACCCAGGAAACATGGTGTTCCCCCCAGCCTATACCGTTGTCAGCAACACGGCGACTCAGCGAAAGCAAAACAGAGACAAGTACTCACAAGCAGGATATTTTGACACAGACTTTCACGAAGACCCTGTGCACACTTCATAATAACATTAAAGGCATCATGCTGCAGCCCATTAACATCAAGCCCCAACATGGAAGGGTTGAACGACACCTCGCCCGCACGCAAACCCAGCGGGGTGTCAAGCTTGACTTTCATCCCGTCAGGCAGATCCCAGATCTCTTCTTCCCCTCCGTCATCCACCATATTCTTCCACCGCATGACACCCTCCTCAAAGTCCTTTGCGACGCGGCACCGTTCAGTCTTGGCCAACCACAGAACGTCATCCCAAGCCCCGTTTGACGGAAGCTCTAGACCGACTTCATTCGTGAGAGCTTCCTGCAACCAGTCGTCTATCGCTTGTCCCGCAACGTCGTGTCTACGGGCGTGGTTCCGGATAGGCGCGTGGTCATATACTGGTAGAGTAGAAGTCCCCGCGTAGCCCGAGTCGATGACGAGAGCGATGGGTAGGTTGGCCGCGTAAGTTGACAGCAGAGCCGGCGAGGCCGTGTAGTACGCCGGCGCGGAGAAATATTCGAAGACGTGGGATACCATGGTCATCCTAGTTTGTGCACATTTAGGCTCTTTGCAGTCTCGAAAAAACGTCTGGGACTTACCGCTGGCTTGGAGAGAGATGGAGTGGTTCTGTCATGATGATTGGATGATGGGAAAGCGGTATGGAGGCTCCCAACTCTGCTAAAGCATAGTTCCATATCCTATCTGCGTCTTGCCAGTTCGTAATCACGCCACCTGCTCTGATCGGGTATAGAGGTTGGTTGAGGCCTCCATAATTCGGGTCAACGGCATGGCCAACGTTGTGAGTGGTCTGTGATATGGTCAATAAGTCTTGCGCCTCGAGGAACTTGCACAGGTTGCGGAGATATCATGCCGACTAACCATCCAGATATCAGTGTTCCTGTTCTCTTTCGTCCTAGTAGGATATTGGATTGCAGTTGCTAGGTTGTAGTCAGACGGCTGAGAACAGTTACAGTTGGGGACTTTGTCTTTAGTCACGGAATACTCTGAGAGGCTGCCGGTCGCCGCCGAACCCAGCCTTGGTGAACCCAGACCTGGTAAACGATCAGAGCCTCAATCACTCATCCAGAACCACGCCTTCATTGACCAGGCAGCACTTACCCGCTATCAATGACAATGGCTCGTGGTGACATATTTGCACTGGGCGACATGATAGATCGAATGCCAGGTATGTCACATCAGGAGATGTTTAGGGCAAGCTTACGAAAGAGCTCAGCTGTGAGAATTTGACGCTCAGGCATCTGCAGATTGGGCTTTACACAATTGCTTTCTTTTCGAGGCTGAGGTGAGCCGGTACCGGTCTGCATATGCAGGCGGCACTCATTCAGGTAAGGTAAGCATGCAGGCACGTTTGGGAACGCCGCTTATTGTTCGTTTTCATTCAGGTTTGATGATTGAAACCTGATGGCCCACATCACGGAAGGTTATTTGCGATGAATTGGCAAGAATATCGTAGAGATGGGTTCTTCCATTTTACTACTACTCAAGTCTCTAATCAACCCTCTTCTCATTTCTTCATGAACCCTTCAAACATCTTCCAGGTTCAACTTGGTAAGCATCAAAACTGATTGCCATGGTCATTACCAGCGCCATGTCGTACTGTGAGACCCAACAGGCTTTTGAGCAGGTATCGCCTGCAATCATACACTCTGCACGCCATGGTATTCGCCGTGGTAAATCTGCCCAAAATAAAAGACCATGTGATCCCAATTCCACGCCAGTCGCATCCATTACGCTTGCAATCAATAAAACAGTCATCGCTCTGACGGATCCTCTTTCATTACCAAACTCCGGATTTGCGGGTCGTTGCTTGACGTCTTTGCGCCATATGTGTTGTGTCGTTCTTGATAGCGTTTAATACATCATCGTCATAATTTGCTGCTGCTGTTGTCGCTGCCGCTGTGCGTTTCTCTCAGCGAGAATCCTCTTGACTCGTCGTCGACCGGTGTTGATGAAGTGATATTGCGGCGGGTACTCCTGTTCCACGGCTTGAGGGTATGTCCAGTATACGAGCCCGGCGAGAATCATGTTGAAGAATCGGGCTGCGGGCGTGAGTCGGGGCTTCTTGCGCGCAAAGTGTCGCCATTCGAGTGTGAGAACGATGTTGCCCAAAACATTAAGGAGGCGGAAGAACCTTTTACCTGTTAGCTCTTTATAAAGTAGTGAAATAGTAACCGAACTTACATGTTCAACACGATAAAAACCAGGGTCACTGTAACCCGTCTGTCAAATAATCCAGCTATGCCGTCTTCCACATCTTTGACGAGGACGTAGATTGGCAAACACCAAAGACCGAGTATCGCTGTCTCAAGGATCAACGAAAAGTGATATGTGCGCTTGTGTTCGCCTCTGACCACGAGGAGAGCCAGACACCACCACAGCAAGACGAACGCGACCTGTCTAGGTTAGACAACTATTTTCGAGACTCACGAGAGCGATTTCCATGAACTTACAATAGAAGGCACCAAGACGAGGATCTCGTCTCTAAAGTACCTCCAGCAAAGCGCACCGGCGACGATACCGAGACTCAGCTGAATCCAGCCCAAGACGAAATACACCAGCAGGACGTTGTTGTAATGATTATAGCAGCCCTTGTGGAACTCGGGCTGGTTGGGCGCCGAAGCAGTGGCGACGGGATACCCGCACCATCGACAGATCCATACACTCGCGTAATTGCCTAGCGCCACCTTCTTGCCTACCGCCAGCTCATTCTTCTGATACGCGCAGTCGACACATTTACTAGCAAGAGGATACCGCGGATGGTTATAGTCTGCCCAGAGCAAGCTGCCGCGTGTGGGATCGTACTTTAGGCAGATGTAGCAATGTGCCAGTAGAGCGAGGCGGAACTGCTCGCCAAAAAGGTCGCGAATGGTCTCCTTTGTGAGAAAGTTACGGTAGAAGCGGCACGTGCGGCGCAGATTCTCGAGCTCGCCGAACTCGAGGTAGTCGATGATCATAAGATGCAGCTCAGGCGGGAGATCCATAAGACTGTTACCTGTCTTGGGGCCTAGAATACGAGAGCGTCGTCGTGGATCGAGCGAGGCGACCTTTTCAATGACTGAGTCTCGGCGTGAGCGGGATGTGCGAGGCCGGGCGCTTCGGGCGCTGGTAGGTCGTATTGAGCCGCCATCTTTACAGGACAGTTGTTGCTCGAGTTCGAGGGGTAGAGGTGACTCGAGGGGTGAGGGCAGGTACTGAGCTGGTGAGGCTGCGGCTGAGAGGTTGAGAGGTTGGGGCGCTGGTGAGTTGGGGTGGACCTGAGGCGCGAAGGATATAGCTGAGGGAGTAAATATGGGAGAAGACAAAGGTGCGCTAGGTGAGTGGACTATGGTGGGCGGAGGTGACAGTGGCGATACGGGTTGAGACTGCGGCCCCGGGACGGTGAGTGTTTGAGTTGTGATGTTGTTCGTCAAGGTCTGGGCATTCGAGGACTCCGCGGGGTGAGCGCCGGTGAGAGCCTGGAGGGTTGCGTCATCTTGAGTGGGGGGTTGGGCTGATGGGCCCAGTGCCAGGGTTGGAAGCGTATGAGCGTGATGCTCATGAGCGGAGTGAGGGGGCGACGGTGAGGCCGGCTCCGGTGAGTTAATAGTCGGTGTGAAAGGTGGCAGTGGTGATGTGAGCGGCAGAGCCGTGTAGTGAGATTGAGAGGCCGTGTGAGCCGGAAGTTGAGCTTCAAGATCGGGTTCAGTGGTCGGTGCGGGAGCGTGAGCGGGTACGGGAGTGTCCTCGGCGGTGGTGGACGAAGCGGTTAAGGATGGGGCCGATGAAGCCGCGGATGACTGAGATGGTTGCTGATCATCTTGGGAACCCTGAACCTTTTTGCGGACGCCGCGGGCAGCGCGGGAGATGCCCCTCCCGAATGAGCTGACAACATTATCCATAGTGAGCCCAGGGCGGGAGATGGTCA